TTTTACGCTTCTTCGCGGCCGCTTTGGCGCCCCGAGGAGGTCTGGGTTTCCTCTTTTTGCTCCCGGCTTCGTGCTCAACATAGTCTTCTTCTTCCTCTGAAAACGTCTCGTCGTCGCCGTGGGCCGCAACATGTAAGGTTCGCCGCGATTCCTCGGAAGTCAGCTTTACCCAACACTCCCACCCACTATCACCTCCAGATAACGCGAATGTCTCGACGCCGTCCTGAGATTCAAGTACCCGCAAACCAGCGCCACTCATCAAGTAGACAAGCTCTGAGATCGGGGCGTGTGTGAACAAGGCAAGACCGGGATTCCCCAAGCTGTTTGAGGGGGCGATGTGATGAAAGAAATTGCGACCGATGTAGAGCTGTAAAATTAATGAGCCCAATGAATGTGAATCATCTTGATGAGAACGTACCTGCTCGTAGACTTCAAGACTCAAATAGCTCAACCCGTCGACAGTTTCGGCATCGGTGAAACTGTCATGCTTCCCAGACACTGAGCCGTAGCGATAAATCCCTTTGACTTTGCCCAAATAAATTCGCAGTTGGCTTCGCATAATCACGAGGGATTCGAGTCGGAGTGGGGTCAGGCTGTTGATACCACGAGTCTTGATGTGCGGTACTAGAGAGCTGGCATTAGATACGTCGTGGAAAGACAATGAATTGAGTGTACCGACGAGGTCGCCCAGGGTGGTGTACAAATTGCAGCCCATCTTCCACTCAACCGGTGGCCCTGCTGCTATCCATCGGCGGAAGCGAGCTTTTTGAAACGCCGTGTCGTTGCGCAAACCTTCGCTTTGTTCCACGGCTTCCTTGAGCTGGTGAGACGCGTGGTTGAGGGAGAATTTTCCGTCCTATGAACTTCTTCGGTCGCGAGCCATAAACATACGAATCTCCTGTTGCGTTGATTAGAATTTGTTATATTCGCATTCATGACTCGATTTACCGTATCCAAACGATCTATCCGAAAAATTGACCATAAATGCCATCCAGTGGTTCCCGTTGTAGTGAATAGGGAAGAACATTCGAGTTTTGCCTCCGTTTATTTCCGCAACAATTTCCTCCAGGTATGTCTGAGGTTTCGTGCCATATTTTGATAGGCGGGTCAGATAGAACTGGAATGCGAGGGGAGCGATGAGGGTAGATGTCGCAAGCCGAGAATCTGCTGATACACGCGACTTGATATCACGCATCATTTCGTCGATGATTCCGCCAGAGAGCCATTCATCGGCGAGCAGTCGCGTCCAGTCCAACTGTCCGTCAGATGCTCCAGCATGTTGGGTATTCCAAGAAACGTGTTGAAGTAGATATTTTTCGGCGGGTGGGAGCCAATTGCGACTGTCAGCCCACTTTTGCTGTGCTGCTCGAAGCTCGATAATTTTGCGGAAGTAATGCGGACTCCAGAGAGGAAGGCGTTGGGAGAGATCAAAGGGGTTGATAATGGATTGAACGCCGTCAAGCCAGGCTTGAGAGATGTCTTGTTCCAATTGGCGGACCGATTCAAGAGACGGAACCGATTTGATGGCCCAAAGGTCATTTTCTTCGCAATTCGGAGGGTCAAAGCTGAACCAAGATAATTTGAACCGTGAGAGAACGTCCCGTGAGTTTTCCGCGATATCTGGCAGTCGAACGGCAAGCAAACGGCAAGAAAGTCGGCCACAGCCATGTCGTCCATCGGTAATTGCCTGATCACGGACGTAGGAAGCTCCCGCGCAGCCTTGCAGGCCGCAGAGACCTGTCTCGGCACGTCTTTATAGAGCTTCCTCTGGCCAATCCAGTCTGCAGGAACAAAGGCCGGCAGAGCTTCCTCGGATTCGCTGTCGATTTCCATCACAGAAGGCTGGACGGGGGGCATGGAAAAAAGTGTGGTAATTATTTGTGTATAATTGACAAGGCTGGAGTTGTTTGGCATAAGCGTTAACATGTGGCCGTCGGCCGTCGCGCTACTGTCGGGCTCGCAACGGCGGTCTCCGAGTCTCGTAAGATGTCGGATGGGCGCCCAACGGGGCTCAGATTTACCCTATTTCCGGACCGACCTCGCCCAATTGGAGGCAGATTTACCCTATTTCCCGGACCCAAAATCACGATTTTTCGAGGCAGATTTACCCTATTCCGGACCGACCTCATAGGGAGTAGCCGGGGGCCTAGGGAGATCTACTGGAATCCACAGCAGCCGAGGTCCCTCATCATGTGAGCAAGGTGTTGGTGGTATATTACAGCGCGTTTTTGGGGAGAGGTAACAAATAGGTAATTTACCTGTCACGTGACCGAGGTAAATTACAATATTAATTTACCACCGAGTTTTTTCCGCAACCCTAGGTCGCAACGCCGTCCGGGGCCCTATAGCGTCACCTGCTCTAGAGACGTGATCGCAGCGTTAATCATCACGGTATATTGGTCCAAAGCTTCAGCGTGAGTTCCAGCATTCAGTGAATGGACATCTATTAAAGCCCGCTCAGACCCCGCTATTGATATGTTTCGCTGCGTGGCCGCTCTTGACTTCTGGAATCATGTTCCTGGAACGCGGTTCTCGTGTGAGTGTCAGTTTTTAACTCGTATCTTTTCTTGTGTGTGGACACGTTATCTCTGTAGTCGCGAATGCTGTTCGTAATACTCGTTATCGACTTCCCTTTTTTCGGTCCTAATTTTATCAGACAACAAGCCGAATTTCGATGTTCGATGTGATGCCTGATATAACTTCGCCGCTTTAAGATTTCAGGCGACATGCCCTCATCACGCTGTGAAACGAAACGCTTTGACTAGACTGGTCCCATGAGCTGCACTGTGTGCGAGAACATCTGCCTTGTTCCCCTTTGGGCGACGGAACAGTCGCAAGCGGCATTTACCGAGAACTTGTATCGTCCGGTGCTCACCTTCCTGTCCATCCTGGCGTAGATTTGTCTCGAGATTTTTTCCGAAACCATTCCAGCATTTTGGTAACGTTTTTGAATGTAACTGCGGAGGATAGGCTTCTTTAATTGTCATCAAATGCAGACCACGATTTTCGAAGCTGATTTGTCGGCTAATGCTTTGTTGCCCTTAACCATTATGATCAGTCTTGCGCTTTGGTGGATATCCTGCCCCCTCTGCGATAACTGATCCTCAACGCTTTGGTTGGTGGTAAAAGCTGTCTCGAATCGTCGCCAGCTGCCCGTATAAAGCTTCTAGCCCACACACATTCTTTCACCGCCTGCTTGTGTTGCCCCATGTCCGCTGTGGGCCCCAATCTATTTCCTCCAGAATCCATGTCTCGCCCTCACTCTCCTCCTCCTTTCAACGCTTCGGTATACTTCTGAACGACCGCGTTTTTGCCACACCTTGATTTCGGTCTTTGTTCGTAGATCGAAAATGCTGCGAGTCTGCTGCCGTCTGTCAACCTTCTTTTTGACGAGGTTCTTCAACGCGAACGTTCTGGGTCTCAGTCATCCTCGGGTTCGCGTGCAGCGTCCGCGTGGGCAGGTTTGGCAAGTGGTCATCTCGGCTTCTGTTGCTTTCAGCTCATCGATCTCTTTGGATTCGCCAGCCCGGACCCGATCGTGTTAGACGTGCAAGTCCCGCAATGAACAAGGCCCGACAATTACCGCCTCTGCAAGTCAGGGCCACTGCCAGACCCCAGGCTCGTTTCTGATTCCGTCTCCGTGATGCTGAATGACCCGATAATCACAGACTCCCTCCCTGCCTAAAGCGGTAAGTATTCGCCGCCTCGCAACACATCCTGTCCTGACGTATATACTTTAGCCCGCTGCTCAGAACAAAGAGACACAGAACCAACAATCGACGCGCGAGGCTACTCCGGAGATACCTCCCCCCGGGATCCCGAACCGGATGGGCGGACGGTATGCTCAGACTCCGTACCACAAGAATGGTCAACCGCACGCACCTGGAGTGAGTGACCATTGAATATCTTCATTCCGCCATCCTGACTCTGTTTCCTAGCTCATGCCAAAGGCTTCTTCCTCCCGTCATCCTGGTGCTCAGGCGCTGGCTGGAACCGTGACAAAATTCTCCATACACCATCGCGTCTTCACTGATTTTCTCTTTCGCAGGCACCAAATCGAGTAATTCCAGTGATAAGCACCAAGGAAGCAAAGAGGGAAGCGGCTAAGGAAGCGTTCACACGCATCTACCACGGTCTTTTAAAAGAGACCCTGGATCCCTTGTGCGTTCCATGTATAAATGACATAAGGATTGAGAGTCGTCGTCAAGTGTCTGGGATCCACGGACCGGGCTTCTCTCAATTCGCCCACGGACTGAAGCCTCAACATGCCACACAACTGCCTGAAGTCCCGAACTTGATCACGATTCCGTTCACGCCGAAACACATCAAGAACTGTAACGTGCTATTGGGCGTCTCGCTGACAGAGATTCTCGACTTCCGCGACGTCTTGTACAGTCCGCGTGAGCGTGTGCTGGACGATGATACGACGAAGATCATATTTTTGATGATAGAGGTACGTCTGATTGCTTTCTTCATCTTTGTGCACACCCGTAAACCCGCTCACAGCACCCTGGATTCCCACCTGTCGTTACAAAAATACCTGGCAACTGCCCTCACCGCCCCGTCTCTCGCTTTAACCTCGCATTCAGCGTCGCGGAGGCTTACTCCAATTTCTTCAAGGTATGTGCGCTCGTCATTCCCGTGCGCTGTGACCTCAGAGCACCCACCACATCTCAGACACACAACTTCGATGCGAACAAGGTTACGCCTGGCTCTATGATTGTTCGCTCCGTCACGCAACTGCGTCTCGTCAATCTCTACACGATCGACAGGACCAATTACAGAGCCCATCTCGCTTACGTCTTTTGACGATTGCTATGATTAGAATTGCTTTCGCTTGCTGTCGTTTTGCTCTGGTAACATTGCTGTCGTTCACACTGTAATCTTATTTCTTTCGTCTCTCTCTGGGTATGGATGGGTGTACATGAATGAAAAAGCAAAATGCTGACATATTCAAAGTAGGTGCAGTTCATATCTGTTCGTTGCAATAACGCTTCCAGTCCAATATGGTGTAGCGGTAACATCGGTGCCTTTCAATAATGAAGTTGATCGCACTAGCCCGGGGTTCGACTCCCCGTATTGGAATGGAAAGTGTTTCTGTCCCCTTTTGGTCTGTTATTTTTGTTCACTTTCAGTCGCACTTACGGTTCCCAGCACAAGATAACATATGTACATAGGCGGTAACTTACCCCGCGTTGGACCATTATCATTATCCCCTATGGTCAGCCAGTCCAAGCTTCCAAATGTTTTGACGATGTATTTGCATTTTTGCGCAGCGTTCTGAATCAGGCTGGCGTTTATTGATACCATGAACAATTTTCAGTAGAAGTATAGGTACAAGTAGATGTGGTTACAACAAGGATAGTAGTTCTATGCGAATACAGATCGAAAGAAATAATGATAATGAATGTGTGGTGCTATACAAGATGCGCGAGTCCATGCCATATTATGTCTAAGAAACCAAAGAAAGAACATCCCAAGATCATCACCTCCAAAACGGATTCTTAGATCCAGCCTTCGAATCCAACTTCGTCGGCGCGTCGTTCAGATAATAATCGTCAATAGTGCTCGTTGAGAAACGAGAAGTTATATCTCGCTTCGTCGTCGATGAAGACTTCACTGGTTCCTTGGGTACGGGGGCGCGATGCGGGTTACCCGTCACCTGTGAGTATAGAGAGGGTGCAGACAGCGTGCTCGTCGAGCTGAGCGACGTCTGCCGCTCGTGTTGAGGGTGAAGGTGGTGGTGGTGGTGATGCTGTACCCGAACCTCGCCTCTCGGATACTCGTAGTTCGCCAACAGCTTGTCCATATCCCGCGCATCCCTCGCCTCCTCCGCCGCCCGCATATTCGCAAGCCGTATCGTTTCACCTTCGACTCTCAGCCCAATGGGATCCGATATCGTCGGCCGATGTTGCTGCTTATTGCTGTTATTGTGGTTATAAGCAGCAGCGGGCTGTCGTTCCCGTCGACTCGCACGATGCCCGAAAAGCTTCTCCCCAAACCGAATCAGCCGCCACCGCCACCCAACGGGATCCAACCTCCTCTGCTGTGCGAACTGCGTCGTGCGCTGCGCCCGCTGCTTGCGCGCGCGCCGGCGCCAGAGCCAGAGAACGATGACGAAGATGAAGGCGCAGCCGAGGGTCATGAGGAGGATCTCCCACCATGCGAGCGGCCTGCGGGGGGACGAGACGGTGGTGGGGGTGTCGATGCCGGAGACGCTCGGGAGGGGTGCGGCGCTGGGGTCTGTCGAGGAGGGGACGGAGACGAGCTCGGAGAGACACGCGCCGAGGCCGGGGATCACGGTGGTGGATTGTTGGCATTGGGCGGGGACGCAGGCGCCCGCGCGGAGGACGGTATTGGGGGCGGAGCAGGCGAGGCATTGGGATGGTCCGGAGCCGGAGCAGCTCGAGCAGCTTGCGTCGCAGGGGAGGCAGGATGAGGAGGTGGGGTCGAAGAATTGGGTTTTGCTGCAGGTGGGGAGGCAGCGGCCGTTGGTTAGGACGGGGCGGGAGGAGGAGCAGGAGGAGCATTGGTTGAAGGAGGCGCCGGAGCAGGTGGTGCAGTCGGCGTGGCAGGGGAGGCAGGAGCCGGAGGAAGAGAAGGTGTTGGAGGGGCAGGTTGAGACGCATTTGCCGGAGGAGGCGAGTTGGTTGGAGGCGCAGGTGAGGCAGAAGGTGGAGGAGCCTGCGCAGGTCGAGCAGGAAGAATCACACGCTGCGAGAAGGAAAGATGTCAGATTACACGAAAACATTTCACAAGACAAAAAACGCACCTGTGCAGGTCAAATTATCCTGAGGTGAAACGAACGTCCCTGATGGACAACTCTCAACGCATTTCCCATTCGAGAGGAAGAATCCCGAAACGCAGCCTGTACACTGCAACTGCTTGACAGTTGAGATGCTGCTAAAATTCGGAATCTTGCAAGACGTGCACTTTGCGCCGCAGCCTACAAAGAAAATTGATTAGAGACCAGAAAATCTGACCCTGAAAAAAAACGCACTGTCGCATTCCAACTTATTATTATCCGCAATCAACGCCGACCCAGCGCAGACGCCATTAGCGTCCGCCGAGACGCATGCACCATTAAACAGATACGTCCCGGAGGCGCATTCCACGCAGTCATTGGACGTTCCTCCTGTGCAGGTTTTGCACGACGACGAGCACGGGGTGCAATTAGCACCGTCGGAGAACGCGCCAGGGGGACAAGTCGTCCCGGAGGAAGTGACGCTTGGCGGGGGGTTGCATTTCGTGCGGTCGTTGGCGTCTTGGGTGAAGCCTGACTTGCATGTCGTGCAGATGCCTGTACCGTCGGTGCAGGATGTGCAGCCGATTTGGCAGACTGGAGATATTGTGAATATGAGAGGACGGAGAAGAATGAGATTGGACGTACTGGAGCAATCGCCGTTGGACGTCAAGAAAAACCCCGGCGCACACTGGCTACACGCGGTGCCGTTGGACGCGGTAGTGAACCCCGTAGTGCAGGTACAGCTGCCGTCGGCGTTGCAGACGCCGTTCAAGCAATTACACGTGTTCGCAGGCGTCGTATCGAGACACCTCCCACTTCCTGTTGGTCCGTCGTCGCAATTGGTGCATCCGCTCGGACACTTGGCGCAACCAGGCCCAAAGAACCCTGCCTGACACGTCTCGCAGGAGGGCCCGGTGAAGCCTGGCGCGCAGGCGCATGTGCCGGAGGCGGTGCAGATGCCGGAGGAGGCACACGGGGGCGAGCACGCGGAGGATTCGATGGAGAAGAGGGTGAGGGGGGATGGCGCGGAGGAGGGGAGCTGCGCGGTGTCGGGGATGGAGTCCCAGATGATGAGGCGGGAGGTGTTGGAGGAAGCGGCGTTGGAGTTTACGGCGATATAGACGTTGGAGGAGAGGGCGAGGGAGTGGAGGGTGAGAGGGGTGGAGGAGTTGGGGGAGATGGGTAAGGAGGGGATGGAGGTGAAGGCTGGTTGGCCGGAGTAGAGCGGGTCGGAGTATATTGATAGACCGGGCTCCTGCGCGATGTTCAGCGGTAGAGCGAGCGATTGGGCGGAGCTCTTGAAGCCTGGAGAAGGAGAGAGGGTGGCGGATGAGGAGGTGAGGAGGTTATGGAGGAGTTGGGGATCTGTTGTAGAGGTGTATTGCCCGGGAAGCAGTAGAGCAGGCGGAGAGCCGGGAACGGATATTGTAACGCCGACTAGAAAGAATGAGCTGAGGCAAGATGAAAAGTGGGAAGCGGACGCACTGGAGGTGTTAGAATAGCCCTGCAGACATTGCCCCGCCGTGCAAACTATAGTTGAAGTTGTATTGACCGTAGCCACTTTTCGACGAAGTCAGTACATGGGAGGCAAGGAACTTTAGAGACTTACAATTGCTGAGTGAGACGAGGACTGGAATCGCAACCATGGCGCCTATCGCGCAAGTGGGGAAGATGGTGGTGGTAGCGGAAAGAGATGTTGGTTCGGACGGTCGGGCATTGTGGTCGACAACCCTCGGATACCTTTTGTTCTTCTGCTTGGTCGTCGGTCAATGAGTCAATGGCCACTGTTCCCGATTCCTATTGTTCGAGAACAATGGGATTTTGAATCTTGCCATTTTCGGTACATATTGTCCGCCGCAAATTCCTCCATTACAGAGTACAATAGCAAGACGCGAACAGTCCGCAGTGGCCTCCAGCGTCGAGCAACGACTTCAAATTTGTTTTTCCGGCTTTGTGACTGTCAGATTGGGAACATCATCATACTGGGTCAGTCTGCAGCGTTCCGGAATTTTCCATCCGGCGAATACAAAACGAATGCCGCCTCAATCAACACGCCAGTCGCCGCAGAGCCGTAGAGCAAGAGAAATGGTGAACGTTGAACTTCGACGTTGGACGAGAAGAACAATGTGATGTTGTGGTCTATTTGTCCAAGCCTCGACCTTGTACTTACACTCATTCTCCTTCGTCCCTGCCCTGGAACGTCGTATGGCTGCGGCACTATCAGATCCAGTGCAATGTCGCATCAATTCCCGTCAACTCTACCACCATCACCGAAAACATTATCTTAATTCTCCGCTTTGAACCTACCCTACACTCCTCTACTCATACTCTACTGCAATCTACACACCTGTGGTTTCCACCACATATCAAATTTGTCCACATTCGTCGTCGTCGCCGTTACCCCTATCCTGTCAACGTTGCGCACTTTTCGACGTATTCCGGGCATCGAAGTCTGCGGCAAGCGTTCAGGCATATCCAGTGGTCTGCAGCTACCAATATTTCTCCCACTCTGCCTCTGGGAGGCTGCTTGTGGACACCATGGCATCATTGTCGGCTCTAGAGTCTACTTACAAGGGACGGTCGCCGTCTTTCTTTGCGTAACCCTCGCCAAGACTGGAGGTATGAGAAGCGCAAGGATAACGTCTCTTTAAAGAAGGGCTCGGAAGGGTGCGTAGGGATGGTTTGCGAAGGTTGGAAGGAAAGGCTTGGGAAGGCTGGAAGGAAGGGTCTGAGAAGCGGATGGAATTTAGGCATCAGGCGGAGGCTCGAGGATGGTACAATAGGAGTCGTCTGGTGGTCTCGTGAGGGACGATTATGGACCGCATGAGCCTGATGAGGTCCCCAGCAGCGGCGAGCTAGGTACGAGCCACGCGCGGTCATTCGTTCTCCCTCGCAACATTGCAATTGGCGGTCTGTGTGTTTGTCTCCAACGGTGGCAGTTGGTCAAGGGCCACTTCTTGTCGTCGCGTCCCTCATCACCCACCCGAATTGTGTTGCCTTCGACTGCGCAGCCTACACGGGCTTTTAAGCATGACCAATCCTCCGCTCGCTTTCTTGGAGGTCTTGGAAGATTCCTGAGGGCAAACCCTCTTCTCACGTCTACCCCCGTCGCCTCGCCCTCGCTACTTATCACTAGCCACATCTACCAGTGCCCCACCGCGTTCGCCTTGCGCTGGCATTATGATTGGCAAGATACCTCACATTGCATCTGTGGCTGTCTGTGCTGTCATGATGTTTCGCTTGATGGTGCTCAAGAGGCATGCGACACCTCACCGCTCGGATGGAAGAAAAGATCAGAAGGGGTTGGAGAAGGATTAGAAAGGAATGAATGGGGTAGAAA